TAAAGAAGTATTATATTTCTGAAGATACCTGGAATTTTCAGTGGTTGCTAAGGACTTTAGTAACTTAATTTCTGCCTCTTTTCAGCTCAGCATTTGTTTCCTGCTAGTGAAGTCCTAAAAAAGTTAACCCTGTTAGCGGAATCAGAGGACTTAAATCATGCATTATTATATCATCCTAATGGCTCCTCTTCTGAACATGTGTTGCCTACAAGAAAGGACGGGCTTTATCACATGTCTAGAAATCTGTCAGAAACAAAATTGTTAGTGCAGATGAAAAGTGAGTTCCATAATAAGGAAGATCTCAGCAAAGAGTCTATCTGCAGCTTCTTTTTAGCAGTAGTAAGGGTGTTCTCACACAGATCCCAGTAGTTGCCTTGACAATTTGATAAAGGGAGAGATCTGGTTCCTCCAATATAAATTTTTCAGTCGTGTCAGATCTTCCTTAGCAAACAAACAAACAAAACTTCTCTTGCTGAATGTGAACTGCTTTGGTGTGGGTATCTTTATAGCTAGAAAGAATTCTCTACATAAACACTGCCCAGAGTATCTTCTTTCAAAACCTCTCAAAGATGCATGCTGGTTTTAGAAGCATTGATAGTGTGTGCTACTATGTCACACTTGGCTCAACATCAGCCCTCTGTGTTTTAAGTAGCTTTGGCTTTTCTGTGTTCTTTTTGCACTCCATGTAGAGTACATTCAATAATCTAATCTCTGATGTCAAAGGAATGTGTAGTAGTTGTAAAAATGCCAAAATGGGAATTTTGCTGTAGGTAGCTCAAAATCTGAGAAGAAAGCCACCTTAATTTCATGTTCCAGAAACAGCATTGCACCAGAGTTTAGTCTTCAGTTCAGTTATTAGTGTCAGCTACTCTGAGTGCACACTTATTTTACAGATAAACTCTTCAGATTCTCTATTGCATAAGTCCTCGGCCAGCTCTTCCTTGTCTATTCATACTTAACTCATGTGATCCTTTTTTTTTGTTTTGGTACCTGATTTGATTGAAGCAGAGCTATGCATCATTGTTAAACTAAATGTATGTAATCAATATTTCTGTATTAATACCAAAGGCATTCTATCCATTTTGTGGATGGGATAACAAAAACGATTACTAAATCATATCAATATGAGGTGGTTTGGGATGAAGGACCAGTTGTCTAAACCTCAGCTCTGGAAAATCAAGTAACTTTAATTGCCCGTGTAACACTGAGAAATAAAAAAAGTATTACAGAAAATGGTTAGCAAGTTGTTAGTAGAAGGCACTACTTTCTTAAGCAGAGCTCAGCAATAGCAAAAGGACTCCCGATAGCTGCCTGCTTTGCATGTAGTTGCCTAGACTGTTTTCTAGACTAATCTTCAGCAATAGCTTTCACTTGTAAGAAAGAGTCACCAAATATGTAGGGATTTTCTGGTTTTAATCTTCAGTAAAAGTGCAGTAACTGCAAAAAGCCCCAAAGTATGGCTTCACATATTCAATAAACTTTAGTTATGTCTAGCCTGGGGACTTGGATGTTCTTATCTTTCTTTATTTGCTTTACTCATCAGGACTGCTCTGTAAATCACTTTTAAGTAGTGTAAGTCTGTCTGAAAGTCAGTGTATCGACAGTGGAAAAACAGTTTATGTGTGTTCTTTTTAAGCCTTCATTAGTAGCTCAATGTCTGAACATTAGTCTCCCTCATAGCCATCTTCTGTTTCAAATGTGATTGATCTTTAAATGGCTGACTACCAATGCTTGTTCTTTGCCTCAGGAGGAGGGCGTGTCTTGGCACCAAACCGCAAGGTGGACATGTGGAAAATGAAAATTATGTCTTACTGTATCTTCTGTCCATTTCCATCTGCTATCCATCTACTTTGCAGCTAGCTATATGAGCCAAATTATAATATGAGCTGCTCTGTGCTTATTAAGGTCCTCAGCCATCCTGATCCAGCATAGACTTTTGACAGTAACGAATCATCCCCAAGATGAATTGTCTTTTCCTAACGTTGCAGAACTTACACTAGCAGAAGTGCTTTTTAGCCCAATTTTGTATGTAATGTGCAAACTAGTTTGAGTTTTAAATGTGTTTTTATGTCTCTCTACATTGGGATTTGCTAATAGAACTTTTAAGAAAGACATTTAGTAGTAATATTTCTGCGAAGGTGCTTTCAAAGGATTAGCCAAGACTAGTACAGGCTGTGTTAAGGAGCAGTTCCAACAATATAATATATAATTATAATGATATAATTTCTTTAGCAGCAAAGCTAGTGAAAAAGAATCCTTTTCTCTTGTACCTGCTTCTTCTTGCTCCCTGTCTGTTATGCCACATGAGTATTTATAAGGCTGCACTCTGCTGGATCAAAGAGGGGAAGGAGAGCCAAAATTTCCTGTCTTCTGATTGAGACATCTAACAAAAACAGATCCTCTGTAACACCCCCCTCAGCCCCAAAATTGCTGCTGGTATTACTGAAGTTATTCAAGAGTTTCTGAAGTGGCATCTGGATACTGTAAGAGATCCTAGCTGCTCAAGTTCGCTATTATATTGCCCCCTACATACTGTCAGCACATCTGTTTGTGTGGCTGCCTGACAAGTTGGACAAAGGTACACTGCTGAAAAATTGCCTCTGTTTTTGGTTTGCTAAGATACGTTTTACTCAGTCAGTACCCAGATTGTGTTCAACTGCACAGGCAGATGTGCCAGCGTGGGGTGGCACAGCACAGGGATAAAGGGAGGACAGAAAATTTTTTAGTAGTAATGCTGTCTCAGAGTAATTACCATCCTTTCAGACTATGGATTTACAGTTCCCAGTAAGAAGAAATCAGAAAATGTACTGTCTTGAGGAGGGCAAATCCAACCCGAATAGAGGGGAAAAAAGTATAAAACACATGTAAAGTGAACAGTGTGTCATGTGAATTCTGTTTTTTTTTAGTGTGATGGAAGTTTATTTCATGCATTTATTTGAAGTGTATGTAGATTGCATATTAAAATAGCATTTTTCTGATGCTGTGGTGGATGTGTTTCAGGCTTTTTGTCATTGTGTTCAGATCTATTAAAGTGTGTCACTGGCCTTATCTATGCATTTAGGACTGGAGTCCTTCACTTAAAACAGGATTGGCTTTGAGTTTTACAGTTTAATCTTAAATACCTTATCAGTACAAGTGATGAATCAGCATGAAGACAAGCTTTTCACAATTTCAGGAGGATTTTTAAGTGTCTCATTTTCAGATAATTTTAAAATGTTCTTTGATATTGCTTTCCTAGTACTGAAGTACTTTCCTGAAAGAATGCTGCAGTTTAAATAATGCAGCATCTAATGACTTGGAAATAAACGTGTGTAATACATTGCTCAGCTTCAAGGTCTTTGTGGATTTGTATCAGTTAATAAAATTGCTGAGGTTCTGTGTAGTTGCAAAAGGAAAAGCTAATCTTTAGCATTGCAATCAGATGTTTTCCGAAAAACAGATTTATGGTGGCTGAAGGGTATTTAAATAACTAGAGTTTATCAAAAACTTTCAAGTTCAAAATTCTGTATTTTAACAATGTTTTTGCTGTCTCTAACATTTGAAATAAACCGATAACTTCTGTAAAAATTACTTTAATGGATTTGTTGGAACCTCTAACTGATTTGAGAAGTTGAAAGCAATTGATGTTTGGTTTTTTTATTATACTTGTGAGGCTTGAATTGCTACTTAAATACAAGTATTCTGTTTATTTAAAAAAAAAAAGTACTCATTTGGCTCAGATACCAAGTGACTTGCAGCAGTTTCTGAGTTAACACTCATCTTTTATTTACAAAACTCACAGCACAAGTTATTAATAACAGTTTTAGAACCAAAACTAAAATAATTAAACTACAACAGTAACAGCTTTTTCCATCAGAGTTCAACTTTCATTACATGCTTTCAATGTTAAGAAAGGATTAATTTTTCTTAATATTAAGTGAGCAGTGCCAAGAGCAAACTTAACTGAAACTGTGCTGCTTTTAAGTGATGCAAATAATAATCACTTTCAATGATTATACATCAGTCTGTGCTTTTGCAGAGAGGGTGCCTTGGTTTTGTTCAATTTTGTTTCCATTACGAATTGGTTTTGGGGGGTTGTTTGTTTTGTTTTTTGTGGGTTTCTTGTTTGTTTGTTTTGGGGTTTTTTGTTGTTGTTTTGGCATTGGTTTTTTGTCATGTGCACATTGCTCTGTCTTGATCACCAAACAAGCTTTCAGGGAACAGATTGAATTAGAATTCCTTATGCCATGTGATATGCAAATTTCAATTTAAAAACAGTATTTGTTACCTAATAAGATTCTGGGCACTCTTCTCAGTGGCATTGTAGGCAAGATTAGTGATGCAGTCTACTTAACTTTAAGTTCATGTTTCCTTCCTGCCCATGCTAGAACAGTTTTAGATTACAAGTGAAATATCTATACTCTTTCTTCCCTGATTCTTGAACATAGCCCAACACTCAGCTCATCTTCACTCATCTACAAAATGTTTTGCTGGGATTTGATTTTTGGCTATCTTGCTTGAAATGCTTCAAGAACGGTTTTTAAGCAGCACTTACAGTGGTGCTGTGGTTGTAGCTATTTCAGATGATGAATATAACTGGAACACATATCATAGAGTGTGCAGACAGTTCAGATCAAGCATTTGACCATTTAATTGCCAGTTATTTGCAAGGAACTTGGTTCTCCTAAGCTGTTTTAATTCAATACAGGATGTTCCACTTCAGTTACTTTTTTTGGACTTTCAGTAAAACAACATTTTTGCAGGACATTAATGATACTCTATAATGCAAACAGCCATCATGATAAGATAAGCTGTTCGTTCTGTCTGCTTTTATTATTTCCTGATTCGTGCATGTTTGTTAAAGATCTGGTATTGTCTTACAGCTTTATTAAACTGTCCTTTCATTCCCATAGGGGAGATGATTTGCTTCAGAATATTTGACTGTTAAAGAAAATCATGCTAACTTCATTCCTTGTAACACTTCTGAAAAGTTACATTATTTTCCCTCTGTCTTTTTTCAGAGAATGGACCTTGGAGAATGTCTGAAGGTGCATGACCTGGCATTAAGGGCAGACTATGAAATAGCATCCAAAGATCAAGATTTCTTCTTTGAGCTTGATGTATGTATTTTGTCTTAATGGTGAAGAAAAAGCATAATTTGTGTACCTAGGTGGATAAACTGAGCAACAAAAGTTAAGTTTTGGTACACACAGAAGGAAAACTTTCGGAAAGTAATTGTATAGGAAGAGGCAGAGAAACCCTTGCACAGTCAGATAAAACATACATGCTTTTTCATGATTATATGCAAGTAATTAATTTGTATTGGTAGTCATCTCTAGGTAGAACTGTCAACAGCCTTCCTCAGAACAAATTATCTTAAACCTGGATGCTGTCTTAGTGATATCAAATAGCAAGTGAATGTTAAGGCTGTGTATGCTTTGAAGAGAGTCTTAAATTCTGTGCTTATTGAAGAAAATAATTTTGTGTTGGGGATAACAAATCATATGCTATGTTTCAGTACACTGTAGTTTGAGTAATAGTTTTGAACTCCGAACTAGGAAGTTAGTCTTCACTAGGACAAAAAGGGTTGGGATTTTTTTTGTTGTTGTTTGGAGGGATGGTGTTAATATGCTTATAGCTTAAAACCCTAGTGAAAAAAGTTACAGTATTGCATGTATTGGCTGGGTGAGGTGAATCTGAATATCCTTTGAAGAATTTTAATGCATGTTAGAAATGCTCACTTCTTAGAGAAGACTTAAGACAGATTCAGTTCCAAATTTCTGCAAATACTTAATAACTATGACAACGTGTAGACTATGATTTTTAAAATGTTCTGTATTAATGTATGTGATTAGTCACCGTAAACTGCTAGATTATTGTTTTACAAAGGTTTCACTAATAAAAACTTTGTTAACAGTTAACTACTGTTAACTTATTAGTGTTAAGACTAAGTTAAGTCTTAATAAACCTGGAAAGTGGTAAGGCTAATGAAATATTCATGTTCTTTACAGCATTGATCAGTGTTCTTATTGATGTTTTAGGCAATGGACCACCTGCAGTCATTTATTGCAGACTGTGACAGGAGAACAGAAGTGGCTAAGAAAAGACTAGCAGAAACCCAAGAAGAGATCAGTGCTGAAGTTGCAGCTAAAGTAAGCATGTAAAACTAGTTACTCGAGTCTCTTTGAAGGTCTGTTTTTCTAAGGAGCCAACTTAAGGCTTTGGCAAGCTGTCCAATCTGAGAATTCATACTGAGGAGGGGAAAAAAATAAGACATTTTCTCTATCCTTCCCAAAACTGCCTTTAAAGCACGGAGAGGAGAACACAGGGAGGAGACCTCTCTGATATTTTTGAGCTCAGGAAACTTGACTCTCTCTGATACCATGACATATAAATGTTAGTAATTCCTTCTCTTTTTGATCAAAACTTCATCCATAAAGTAAACAAATTTGATGTGCTTTTCTATAGATCTCCTAACTGAAAAAAACTTTTGTCATTTTCCCGCACATATATGCACATGCTAGGACGGATGGTTGTACAAATATTAACTTTGCAAGACTATGTGGTATAGACAACAGTGTGAATTACTTGAAGTTTCTGAACAAAATCCTGCTCTGGAGTTGGTACATAGACTTGGTAACTCAGCCTTTCTCTGTGTGTTTTTACGTGAGGCAACTTCTGTTTCACTTTTACCTGGAGAAGTTAACTCTGCACGTTTCTTTTAATTCTATCCTACTGATTTTGCGTATAATAGCTCAAGTAGTTCAGATTGTTTTCCATAATTAAAAGTGTATCCTGTGTTAAGTCTTTCCTTGTCTTTCAAGGCTGAAAGAGTTCATGAATTGAATGAAGAAATTGGGAAACTGCTGGCCAAAGTAGAACAGCTTGGAGCTGATGGGAATGTGGAAGAATCTCAAAAAGTAATGGATGAAGTGGAGAAGGCTCGAGTAAAGAAGAGAGAAGCAGAAGTAAGTTGATTGTGTAAGGCTTGGGGGATGGAGAGGGTGGGGTCCAATATTAAATTGTTTGGTATCTGTGTAATGCAAGATATCTTATCTGCTGTCACTTCCTTAAGTCATTGCTTCATATAAAACTAAAGAATTTGCTTTGTGGCATCCTGTACAGTTAAAGTTTCTACGTTTAAATGCACTGCTATACTATTAAAATTATACTCACTTCCACAGATGATGCATTTAGCTTAGTTTAGCTGTATTGGCCAATTGTATCTGTGGGCACTACAGTTGTGTCTCTATGTTGGACTGGCTTATCTCGTTGGGTCTCACAACTCTTGCTGCAGCAACTCTGTTGTGCCTCGTGGTGTGCTGATGTGGCTCATACTGGAAAGCTTCAGTGAAGTGAACCATTGTCTTCACTGAAAGATAATTAGTCAATGGCTTGTGTATCAGGCAAGTCAAAACAGTCCTTGTTGTAATGTACAGGTGGCAGAACTCACCAAGAGCTTTTCCATATCGTATTTCACCAAGATCCTTAAATTTGTAGAAACAAACATCTGCAGTTGTTTTAATGGTACCAGAGGCATTGCTGGCAGTCTTGCTTGTCTGTCATCTGAGTGTAGATAAATTTGTTCAGATAACTTGTTTAATTAGTGTCTAAAATGCAGGTAGATTTCTCAGGAAAATACTACTGTTTTAAAGTGGGTTCAGAATCAAAACTAGTGTAATATTTTCATAATATGTTAACATAGTAATTGTAGTGTTAACGTGTATTCATTGTTGTATACGAAAAAGTTGTTCATCCTTCCAAGTAGTATGATCTTAAGTAAAGTAATAATCACCCCACTTGTTTAATTTGCAAAAGCAGTTGCTGATGTCCTGCTTTTAAATATGTCCAATCTTCAAAATAAGGAACCTGCCTTGTATCTTCATGAGACAGTTGGTTTATGAATAGTGTAAATTAACTAAAGGGTGTGCTGGTGTACATTGAATTCCATTATCAATTTGTAGTATATCTTTGGTAAAGTGTTATCTTTGTATTTCTGTGCATTGAGAAGTAACAGTTAGAAAATGTTTGGGGTGGTTGTTTTTTTTTTTTCCTAGGAAGTATACAGGAATTCTATGCCTGCCTCCAGCTTTCAGCAGCAGAAGCTACGGGTTTGTGAAGTGTGCTCAGCTTATCTTGGTCTTCATGACAATGACCGACGACTTGCTGACCACTTTGGAGGAAAACTACATTTAGGATTTATTGAAATAAGAGAGAAGCTTGAGGAACTCAGGGTAAATCATTCTTATATTTTTGTGTGTGTGTGTTCCTGCTTAATTATTTGCCAGGCAACCTTAATGGAATATATCTTTCTGGGTGTGTGAATTTTTTTCATATTACTTTAAAATTTGGGATTTCATTAGTCTACAAAACACTAAACATTCTAATTTAATATCAATTATCTGGATAATTTGATAAGATGACCTCTTTTGCACTGAGGTGTATTAAAACACATGTTCAAAGTAATGCATCTTGGGAACAAAGAGTGCGATCCCACTTGTAAAATGGAGAACGACAGTGATGTTGAAACATATTTAGCAGTCATAGGAGATAGCCAAATGAACTCTACTTTTAGCCAGTTGATTGGCTAAAAGTAATAATGAGACTCTTGAAAATACAAGAACATGTAGTGGGCCTGAGTGTATTAAAACACATGTTCAAAGTAATGCATCTTGGGAACAAAGAGTGCGATCCCACTTGTAAAATGGAGAACGACAGTGATGTTGAAACATATTTAGCAGTCATAGGAGATAGCCAAATGAACTCTACTTTTAGCCAGTTGATTGGCTAAAAGTAATAATGAGACTCTTGAAAATACAAGAACATGTAGTGGCACTGAGTGAGTGATATTTTATTTATTTAATTAGGATAAAATGTTAATAGGGCTGGTGTTGAAATCCTCAGTTTTGGTACCAATACGTAAGGAGGATGATAACACATGGCAAAGTTTTCAAAAAAGATCTACAGACATGCTCGGAGCTCAAACAGCCTGCTGTATGGTGAAAGACTAAAACTCAATTTGTTTATTTTATCCAAAGATTAGGAGGTGATTTTCACTCTATAGGTACCAACAACTAAAGATGATCTTTTTTTTTTTTTTTAAGTAATTTTTGAAGGCTTTTAAGCTTAACTGACAGTAGATTAAATAAGTTCCAACAACTCAAGGCTGTAGCTATCCAAAGTCGGAATACAAAAAGATGTATATCTTGAAGTCAGGCTAGCTATTAAAATAGTTGTTACGGAGAGGTTGCATGTTCTCTATAGCTTGAAGATTTGAAATCCAGTTGGAATATTATCCTAAACAACACTATCTTGGCTAGAAATTGTGTGCTGGAAGAAAGACTTACTGGAATTATATTCTAGACTTTTGGTATTCAAGAGGATGGATTTGGACACCGATGCCATTTATGATCTTAATAAGCAAATTATGGAGTTCAAGGCTCAGTTAAGCATTTAACTGTAGAAATCACTAAAGACAATAGCTAAATGAGTCAATACCTAAAAGCAGAAAATGCTGCTACTGAGTTTGAGTAAATTGGCTTTGTTTATATTTCATAATATTCCAGCTGTCTTGCATGGATACTGTGACTTACCCTTTGGAAAGCCCAGCTCTTTCCGTTTACTATATTGGCAATTTAGGCTCCTAAATATAGCTGCTGTAACTTAAACCTTAGATGCCTAGAATAGATCATGTGCGCTTCCTTTCACCCCTCCATGAAATTATGCAGAGAGTCACTTGAACAAGAAACCTTGCTTGCAGTTAAATTACTGATATTGTACAAGAAAGTATAGATATAATTTGACATAAAGGGTTGAAATAACTGATTATTTACACCATTCGGAAAAAAAAATGCATGGATAATTATTTCACATCCCCAAAGCATCAATAAAATAATCTTTTGAAGTACTTTGCTAACAAAAAAAGAAAACAATAACTATCCCCTCCTTCCTCAGAGCTCTCCTCAGAGATCTAATCAAGATGCTGCTGGGGCAATTCCACATCTCAGAAGAAGGTCTTTACAAAGAGTTGAATTTCTTGCATCATGTCCAGAAGGTGGCGAGACTTGGGTTTGGCCAGATCTCCAGTTGTGAGTTCCACATCTGAGGGCCCTCTACTGAGCGTGCCTTGTCCCCAGTAGTAGTCAGTTCAACCTGGGGGCTATCAGCTGAAGCATCCTCTCTAATCATATGTCTCGTGTTCACAATACAGAAACAAGTAGCCTCAAAGCTAGGTATCAGCCCAACCAAGTCCTTTAAGACTAAGGATTTCTTTATGTCACAGCGTAGCTGAAGGAGTTAATAAAACAATTAACTCTCCCAGTTCTGATTCTTTTCTACCTTTCCCCAGTGGCCAAAATATGATAGGATTGGCATGGAAACTCTCACATTAAAGGCATGACTTACTGCTCTGAATTCCCCTTTGTGGAAAACTTTATATAACTCTATGTATTTCAGGTCTTCGTGTAACACCCATCTATTTGCTGCAGCTCTTCTGCAATAACTTCTGTTTCTTGGGGGGGAAAAAAAATATATACACACACACTGAGGAAGAGAGAAGGAATAATATACACAAGGGAAAGGGAATATACATGAGGGAAAGAACTGAATATTAACTGTCTAGATTATTTTTATAGCACCTTCATCTGAGAAATTTTGAAATGTAACTTAATTAATATATTCCTTTGCTTTTAGAGGATTGTGGCTGATAAACAGGAGAAACGAAATCAGGAACGTCTGAAACGTAGAGAGGAGAGGGAAAGAGAAGAAAGGGAGAAACTAAGGAGGTAGGGATCTATTTTAATTGCATATACATAATGACCTATTTAATTTTAATGGGAAAACTATGTATGAAATGTAGTTCATACATGTTTTTAATCTGCAGAATCACAATAGTCTGCATTCCGTGGAAGGACTGAGAGTGAATTTCATGTCTAACTCTTAAAACCTGACTTGTTTTCATAACCTTTTTAAAAACTACAGATAGAAGTGTCTCTACATATTTGAACAAATGGCCTTTAAATGAGATAATTTTCAGGTGTGTACCTTATTTTGAGACCTGACAGATGTAAGCTTACACACAAGGTTTAGATTGGATGTAAGGAAAAATTTCTTTACTGAAAGAGTGGTGAAACATTGGAACAGGCTGCCCAGGGAAGTGGTTGAGTCCCCATCCCTGGAGGTATTTAAAAGACGTGTAGATGAGGCACTTAGGGACATGGTTTAGTGGGCATGGTGGTGTTGGGTTGACGGTTGGACTCGATGATCTTAGAGGTCTTTTCCAACCTCAATG